AAAAAGCCATAATTGCTGCAGTGAAAAGATAGACTTCTGATAGCTATAACCATCTTAAGAAGGTGATCAACTTTCTCAGCAGCTGAATTTGTCTATGCTGGGGCAATTCACTGTAAATTGAATGCAAGAGAGTGGCAGTCCCTTAGGAGTCACTGAGAGCAGAAGGCTGGGCCAGGACCATGGCTGGTGTGTCCTGCAGCTACTGGGCTTGCTTCCTGCCAGCAGCTCATGTTCCCAAGTTAGTGCTCCTTCATGTTTTATCTCCCTCTTTTCCTGTAAATTTGTGAGATTTCCATATTTCCTGAGAACCTGGACTCTGTAGTTTCTTTTGGTAGGATTCTGAAAGGGAGTTCAAGCTAATGTTTTTTTTTTTCTGTAGGAACTTGTAGAAACTCAACTCTGACAGTCAGTGCTGGGCATAAGGAACACACAGTTTCTTTGCTTGTTCATATTTAAGATTATCTGTATAAAGGGAAAAGGCATAGTGTAAATTTAATTACAGTTTTAATGTCTGTGAATGCATGACTAAATAATTAAATTGAAATAACTGTTTCTCATTTTGACAAAAATGCAATTTTCTCTCCATCCTTCACCAGGTCTCCCTGCTCACTACCAGCAATAGTGTTCCAGGAAACTTGTCATGATAAAAATAGAAAAACAAAAATAACAAAGCAGAGGCAGAAAGAAGTGTCCTCGAAATTATCTTTTCTTTTTCTTAGAGGAATACAATCAACATAATAAAGACGATTTTAAGTAATCGGAGAGTTTTTTGTAATACTTTAGACGTTACAGCATTTTGAAGCATTTTAACATTGTAGTATTCTACTAATATGCAGTGAGTTTTTGGCCATGGTTGTAAGACACTAGAGTGCTGAGATTTTCTGAAAAATATACCTTTTCAAGATTTGCTAGTCAGAATATATTCCTTTCAAAAATAAAGTTCAATGTTCTGAAGAGAGAGAGACAATGCCTCTTTCAGCTATTCCATTTTATCTCTTTTATTACTTACATAATTTATGTAAATAATATATTTAATTACTTACATAAGGTATGTTTTTAGGACCTTAGCAAAGTAGTTTTCCTTGCTAAATTCTGATTTAAGTGTTTCAATTAGTATGTCTTGATTTTTAAAAAATTTCTATGTCCTACAGGATAGTCTATATCCTGTTTTGTCATTTGGAAGAAATTATGAAATGTTTCAGAGTGTTCTGGAAGAATAGGAACACCTTTTTTGGTATCAATTCATCAATGTTTTGCTATTTCTTATAATGATCAATAAGATTCATGTTGTGGTTTGCTGCTAAGAATGTACAATGTCCACATTTCTGGCTGACTTTCTGTTAATTGATCAACATTGAGAAAATCCTCAAGTTTCCATTTAATTTTGTTGCATGTTATCTCAATCAGATTGACAATCTGCTTAAACTTTGTCAGAAGCACTTCATACGGACATAATTCAGTACAACCCCTAACTTCTTAAGAAGAAAAATAGCCTTTCTTTCTTTCTGGCTTATTGACTCGTTTTTGTAATGGCATGAAAAGACATCTTAATTTGCTTGTGGGATATATGACTAATAGAGTCATATAATAGAATACCTTTCATCCCGAATGAAAACTACAATATGAGACTTCATTGTTTTCTCTTGAAGAAATCATTATGTAATTTCAGTACTTACTGAGATGGAAGATGTTCATTAAATCCTGAGTCTTGCTTCAAAGCTTCCAAGCCTCAAAGTCAAGTTAATATTTTCTGTAGAAGTGCAAAGCCTATAACATATAAAGCAGTTTGAATTTAATTTACATAATGCAAAATAAAATTACTTCAGAGAAGTGCAGAGTTTTAGGAGAATAAGAAAATCATATGGCTTTGTTTGGTGAAGCCTAGCAATATATTGTATTAAAATTGTATTAAAATCCCCATGCTCTAATAGGTTTGTAACATACCTGGATTGTCTTTAAGGGAGTACCATTTTCTTATAAGCTCACATATTGTAAATGGTTTCATAATGACATTTATACATTTCCTAATTTGGCATTTCATAATTTTTAATAACAGTTTGGGTAAACAATAAAGACTCATAGGGTAGTTTTCATTGTGAAAGAAACAACATGCAGGATACTTTCTTACCTGGCTGTCCCATAAATTTGGCAGAACAAAATGAAATTATTTAAGAGGAAGTAGTTGGGCTTAAGAAAACAGGCACAGCTGTGGTGCTTTTGTTTATCCTTTAGTAATACCTAATTTCTTTTGGTCCTTCACCTTGTGCATGCAGGCTTAGTAGTGACTGGTGCCTGGGATTTCAGATAGGCCAGCAAGATATTAAGTCTAGTAACTTTTGGCCTAACTACTTATTAGTGGTTACTACCTTGGTCTGATTTTTCTCTTGCTGCAGGACCTTTTTCTTAAAGAATTAAGTTCTTGAAATTTTAAACCTAAGGCAGACAAATGGAGGATGTGCAATATCTGGGAATGCAGACACCCACTTTGTCTGTTGGTTGTTGTGGCAGTGTGTCCTAGAGATTATGATGTGGAGGCAAATCTCAAAAAGCACAAAAAGCAGCCCCAAGCAGCCTCAAACAGTGTGTGAGGTGATGTTGAAACTTTATTCATAATCAAGACGTTGAATTCATTCTTGCACATGGGAGATCAAGTTTTCTGCAATACCCTGTAGTGGCTTGTGCTTGGATTTAACAGAGGATTGAAAAATAGCATTGTTCTAGGCGGACTTGAAGCTGCTTACTCTGATGGCACTCCTGCAAGAATTTGGAGTAGCAACATTCAGCTCAAGTAGGGCTCACTTTAGGACTTAGGATTTTTTTTTGTCAGTGACTAGTCAGCTATTATTTTCAACACTTTCAAGTGAAAATTATCTTGTCTTCCTGTAATTTTACAGTTTATGGCAAACAAGTGTCGGGTGATCTTCAACATGAAGTCATTAAGCTAGGGAAGTGATTAAGCTAAATATTAGGGAAGTTTTTTATGGGCTGGGACCTAACGAAACACCCATATGCTTTGCAATGCAAGGAAGAAGAGTAGAGAAACCGGGATGCAAGAAATTAAACACCAACAAGCAAAAAAAATGGACTAAATGTGAATTTAATCAGAAGTGAAGGAAATGGTGGACTAGAAGAGAAAGCAAAAGAAAGAGAATTGTTTAGTTTAAAGAAAAAGAATTGGGAAAGATGTGAAAAACAACTTTACATTTCAAACTATAAAGCCAAAAGAACCAAAAGCAAATGGTTCCTTGCACCTGTTATGAGCAGAAGAATAAAGCTCATAGCTTGAACTCCATCAAGGATTATGTAGGTGGCATATACCTTCTGAAGTTCTTTCTCTTGGATCTTTGTTGGTCTGACTGCACCCACAATATCAGTATTATGTTGCTGCTTGAAGGCATTTTCAGTTATGTCTTCAAAAATAGCTCCCATTCTCAAAACAATTATCTTGAAAAAACTGGTGCTCTTTCCACTAAAGGCTCCAGAATTATTGCCGAAATTAGACAACTGATGGTAAAATTTAGCTCTGTACAGCTGGACAGAGCAAAGGCTATCTCATATTTAGGTCTCACATTAATCAAGAAAACAAGATTTCTGTGAAGGGTGAGCCTTTTTCCAGGTTCCATGATTCCACAGTAATTTTCTCCATAAATTACAAATGTGAAGACTCCATATTTCAACTGTATTCAATCCAGTGTGATGCATAAGTACAAAAAAAAAAGTAATTTTCCTCACTTTAATGAATCTAGCATTAAATGTACTGATAGTTTATTAGATACTTGGAAAACTACAGAACTATGCAAATACTGAGTATAATCTATTTGGAACCTTTTTGTTTGTTGAGAGTACTTTACAGGGAACCATTACATAAAGAATATTTAATTTGTATTGTTAAAAACTTCCTTAAAGATTGGCAAATGCTCTACTCAGAGGACTTGACTGAGAGCCAAATTACTGGAAGATTGCCAACACCACTCTCACTCCTTTATAATAAATTCAGAAAAATTGCTGTACCATAAGAATGAAATTTTTTAATTTGCATGGTTTTAAATACTGCATGTACTTTTGTGGTGGTAGAAGGTGCTAAGGAAAAAAAAAATCAAGTTTGTATATAAAAGCCAGAAATAGCCTGTTTGTGAAACTGAGTGATAAATATAATAACATACGATATATCAAGCAAAATACCTGGTTATTTTTGTCAAAATTTACAAGTCTGTATCATAAGCTTAGATTAAGCTTCAGTCTCTGTAGGTAGCATGCATTCACTTACATTTTAGTAGCAAATGTTTTCTCATCTCTTATAGATTTAGTTTTGGTTTAGTGTATGTAATATCTATATAATATAAAAGTAGCCTGAACCTACTCATTTGTCATCTGTGATAACTTTTATGTATTATCCTGAGAAATTGTCATGACATCTTTCCAAGCTAATGTAGCACTTTTTTCATCACCTTGTAATGAGTGTAGGGTTCAGTGTGTCTGTGGTAGCTCAGTTTTGATAAATGCTCTTATCTAAGGCCCTGCTCTTCTAGATGGCAAATAAATGAATGTTTTCTTGTGTGAATTATGGTATTATATTTGTGTTGTGCAAAACATGAATCCCACTGATGTCCACAAAACTCTTTGACTGGATAATCTGCTTATTCTGAGAAAGGATATAAGAAAGCCTTCCTTGAGAGTCTTGAATACTATCAAAATACAATTTACATACTCATGGAGATAGACAGCCTTAGTTCAGTGCTCAGGTGATGCTTCTCTTTTTTCCTGCCCTTAATATCAGCAGGCAGGATGGCCCTGTTTTGTTTCATGTTCTCTTTTATTATTTTCCTGGAGATGACCCCCAGAACCTGCACATTCTTCAGAATGCCTTCTGGGCAGGCTTTTCTCAAGTTATAAAATGGAAAGAATAATTCTTTCACCCTCAAAAGTGTTAAAAAATATTGTTAATGTGGTATTCAACCAATTTTATTTTGTTTTTTGCTTTTTTTTTTTTTCTTTTCCAGGATTACTTACTGCCATCTACCTTTCCAGAGTAAATGGCTTTATGTTGGAACAGAGAGAGGAAATACACACATTGTAAATATTGAGTCCTTCATTCTTTCTGGATATGTCATCATGTGGAACAAGGCAATAGAACTGTAAGTGCAGATTTTTTTTTTTTTTTCATTTGTATGTGTGGCCTTTTCATAGCTGTCTTAAATTTACTTTTTAAGAATTATTTGGTTTTTCAAACATTACCAGATCTTTTGAAGCCTTTAATTTCAGTGAATGCATTTGCAGTATTAACTGTTTTCTACAGGACATTAGGAATTAGATTTATATTGGAGACCATGTAATTACATTTCATATAAAAGAAAAAAAAAGTTGTACTGTTTAACTATGAAGTTCCATGAAATACAGAAAGTCTTTAATCACTAAAATTCATATTTTGCTATTTTAATGAGGAAAGTTTGATCACTGTGTCTCCAGCCTGTGAAGAGAATAATGGAGGGTATTTGTCCTAAGATTCTATAGAGAACTTTTCTTCATTGAACTGTGGAATCATTTAGATGAGAAGGGACAGGAGGAGGTCTCTAGACCAAGCCTCCTGCTCAACACAGTGAGAATTTGAAGGTTAATTCAAACAGATCAAAACATGTTGAAGTGATGGGAAAGATAATGAGTGCCTATTAAAAGCTAAGCAAGGTGCCTGTGTTGTGAGTATGAAATGGAAAGAGACATACAAAAATCTGGGATACATCTATGCTTCCTGCAAGGAAAAGCCTTGACAAAAATGAAAAACTCTTTCTCTGCTGGTTCCTCTGTGAAGTTCCAGCAAAAGGAACTTCTGAGGGAAAGCAAAAAGTACTTCTTGTAGTTTCTGAGACGTTTGCTTAATGTTGTGAGGGACCAGTAACCTCTGGTAGTAAACGGAAATATACTGATTTCAGTGAACCAAAAGAACAGTAGCAAAGAACAGGGTTACAGACCTGCAGTGTAACCCCAGTTCTCAAAAATTCAATCCTTTCTTTTCTCTCTATTATTATTATAGTAATCACTCTGTCCCCCAGATTGAATTGATGCCTCATTTTCTTTCTCCCTCTCAGCCCTCATCAAACTTCATAGGCACATTTGAAAAAATCTAGATTTACCTTCAAAAGATATAAACCCAAGGATTCAAATAGTAATCAGGATTCAGTCTGCTGGTAAATCTTTCGTCCAGTTCTCAATTTTGTAATGTTTGGTTGTTCTGCTCCTGTGGGACTGCTTGGCTCTGTTTAATAGTTTTGGCTGCAAAAAAAGTAATTCTGGAAAACATGGTTTCCACCACAGTATGATAATTTTGATGAGTTTTTCAGGTGGAAAGTATACTCATTGTTTTCTGTTTCTCACTTTGTTTTGGTGATATTGATATATTGGAGGGCTTTTTGAATCCTGTATTTTAGAATGTCCATATTTAGTACATTGAGTGGATAACATCTTTAAGTTTTTGGGAACCACATGTTTTCATTTTTTGAGCACTTGTAATTATTTTTCCTTCAGAAGTTAGGATGTTTCTATTCTGTAGGGAAATAGATCCAAAGGTTTTTATGGACTGGAAGCCTTCCACCAAGTTTCACTTTCTAATTATTTCAAAATTCTTCTGGATAAATGTTTTTCAATTATTTCAGTGGCCACAACAAACATTTTTCATGGAAGTAGAGTACAATGATGCCTCTCTTTCTATGTAGAAAATATGGGCTGCTTTCTAACAAGCTTCACAATTGATTTGTTGACATAGGCTAGATGCTGTGCAATATGGTCCCTCTCTAGAACCTTCAATGAAGCAAGCAGCCCCTCCTAACTATCTTCTTTGTATTTCCTATGCAGGAAAATATCTAGATTTTCCAAATTTTCTCTTTCCATAAGTTGTAAAAGGTAATGACAGCACAATAAAGATAGACTGTTACACCTCAAGTACTTGGAGGTGCTGCATGGTTACCAAAATAGGTTGTTCCTCTAAACAGCAAGTTTGCCATGTACTGTTTTGTTGAGGTGAGCACAGGTATTCATTCATTACTGCTTCTAGTTCTACCAATCTTACAAGGATAAATTGATCCATGTAAGCAGTGTGCTTCTCTACAGCTCCATCCTTTCCATCCAACCTTATCATGTAGTCCTTGATATGGAGTGGAGGAAGTTGCTCTTGTAAATGTTTTGCAGGTGGACAGGGGATCCTATGTGTCTCCAGATTAGTTTCTCTGTACTGGAGGAAGAGGGTGGTGGGAATAATCATGATGTTTGCCACAGCAGCCACTTGTATAAATGCTATAGTCCCTCTGAAGTTGAAACTGGGTGACTCAGTAAAGTAATTGGAACACTCTCTGGTAATAAACGGATGTCTCTTCCAGTACTGTTGCTTTCCTGCATGTAAAATTGAATGTAGATTAGCTTTTAAAGGAAATGTTATTACCTTTAAATGTTCTTCATGTGGATGAGGTTATGATTATAGACATTTCCTTTAGAATAGTACTGAGAAAAATGTTTGAGAGAACAGTTTTATTTCAGGCCATGGATATGCTCTGATTTGATTATATTTTTAATCTCCACATTATTTTCTCATAATTTTTGCATATTTTTCACATTTTAATATTATAGAATCATAAAATAATTCATGTTGTAAGGCTTCTCTAGAATTTTCAAGACCAACTTCCTGCTTACAGTAAAATCAGGTTGATTGTGGGATGTATAAGTTCACAGGGTCTGTTGATGTTAGGTGCTTTCAAAGACGACAAAAAATAGGAAAATATATATATGCAAAATTCAGGAAAATCTTCAACCTTACCATGAACAATGTAAGGGGCAATGATGTTCATAACATTATGTTAAATTCTGAGTTAATGATAACATTTCAGAATGAGAGGTTAGCTTGAGGATGTTAATATTCTCTATAAAGCTTGGAAGGAAAGGGATTACCTTTTATGGAATCATATGTCTTTCAATTTATTGGCAAAAAAGGACCAGTAAAAGCCCTTGTTCTGCTGCTCTATTCAACTCCTCAGCTTAGATGGAGGATTTATAAATAAAATTTTAAGTGTGTCAAGCTTGTGTATCATCTGCTCTAGCAAGCCTGAAGGAGTTCATCCCTCTTCATGCAATTCTCATCCAGTTTCTAAAACTGAAAGTCTACCAACATAACTTCTCTTTCTTTTAATTGCCCCCTCTTACTTTTCACTGATTTATATCTACGTTTAATGAAAACTCCATGTAACACTCACCCTCAGAAGCAATCAAATATTTTGAGTCAGTGAGGCCTATCAAATGTCTGCAATAGTTTTTTTGTAACAGTGATTCTGTTGCCATGAAAGACTGGGGTGAAAAGGCTTGATAGATTGAAGACTTGAAGGGGAAACAGGTTTAGATGCAACATTTTTAGACTTTGCATATGATGCAAGAAATTTGATCACCTTGTCCTGCACAGCTACTTTTACTTACAAAGTTGGCATTTAGTGCAGAGGTTTTTTTTCATTATTTTCTTGTCTATTTTTGTATCTAAAAGATCTGTAGAACACTATTTTGTTTGGGTGTTTGTGGTTTTATGCCCTGTTCAGAAACATCTAGTGGAGATACATGTCAAAAAGATGATTGCAATACATATTCTATCATAAGTGACTATTATATAAGATTCTGTCATAAGTTACTATAATAAGACTATTGTCTTCTCTTAGGAGAGAACATTCAGTGAGCTTAAACAGAATCTAGTGTTAGATAGAAATTAAGGCCTAAACAGCTAATAATGCAAAGGAAACAGATTTGGGTTTTTTTGTCTTTTCTTTTTTCTTTCTTTTCTTTTTTTGATTATTTTCAGAACTAAGTCATAACCAATTCTGGAAGTTACAGGAAAAATTTCCTGCTTAAATTATGTACACTGTCTGTGTCTCAGTGGATCTGTCCTCAAACAGAACTGAGAAAAAACACACACATATGAGTACCAATTCTTGTCTCAGCTATTTCTATCATCTCATGCATCATCAATACTTCAGGCCACACCAAAGCAATCTTCTCAGCTAAGATGAATAAATCCAAACTTTTTCACTTGTCATTTCTCTGTCATGTAGCAGAAATAGTCTTTTGCCAGAGGGGTTTGAGGCTCATGATACTGTTTGGTTTTCTACTCTCTAATAAGCAAACAGTTTATCTCTTTTCCTTCCAAATGTTTGGAAACAGCTTTGGAAGAGAAAAATAGTCAATCAGCCCAGCATGTCTCCATTTACTCCAACTACAATGAGATCAATTTTCACAGCATGATCATACATTTGGGAAAGTCATCTAGTGTTGCAAAGGAGAAGAAGGTCTTTATATGTGTCCTCTGAACTCCAAATATGAAAAATCTGTATTGTAAGCCCCTAGTAAGATTCCAGTGTTTTAACACCCCACTATCTAATGAATAAATCACTGAAACTTGCCAAAATTTATGGGATTTGAGGGATCAAAGAACTGGACAAACTGGAACTCAATTATGACAGAGCCATAACCTGGTATCTCATTTCTTAGCCCGTTGTTTGCTCATCCCCATTTCCTAAAACGGAAACTCAGAGTCAGTAGATCCACAGCAGTGAAGGAAAGCAGTACAAAGGAGGAGAAGTAACAGTCTAGAAGAATCTGCTACCCTCTCTGTGTGCAGACCCAAATGGAGATAGTTATTAATATAAAGAAAGCACTATTTTCAAGGCTTCCTTTTTCTGGACATTTAAGAAAATACATCGAAGACTCAGAGTTGCATCTTGAGGTTGAACTGATTCTTGCTTACTCCAACTCCCAGCTTGGATCCATATCATATTAATAGTGTGTCTAACTTATTAATTCTCTTAAATTTCTCTATGGCTCTACCAATGAAAAGAAGGTCTTAAATTCCCTGCAGCACTGCACCTTTATGGAAGGCAGAACTGTGGATGATGTCTGACTTCTGACACTGAAGAAGTATTTGTCTATGCACGTGTTTTTTCCAGCACTGCTACATTCAGTCAACTTCAACTTCATAATAATGAATATGGATGTTTTCTTTCTTTTCCCCCTCTCCTAACTGCTTCTCTCACTTTCTAACATCAGATGTTTATCCTTCTCAGAAATCATTACAATACTTCTCCAGTTGTGCAGGCTATTTTTTATTTCAAAAGGA